TCACAGTTCAACAGTGTTCTAGAATAAACATGAGATCCTTGCAGAGGCCTCCAAGGCCCTGTGCTCTCTGGTCTCTTTCCCTCCCAATTGTCACACTCCTTACCAGGGTGACTCACACAGTGAATGCTGGCTTGCATTGGGGTCTGGACACTGCCCCAGGCCTTCTACTCCTCTTCTGGCTAGCTCAGCTTTCAACTCCCAGGATCAAGTCTCTATTTTAGACAGGACTTAACTCCCTCCTGTTACATTTCCGTTAACACCCTGTCGTTTTCCCCTGTCAGTGATCACAATTAGAAATGAAACATTTAGCATCTCCTCCAGGAGACTGCTATTTCCACATCTTTTGTATAACACTAGATACCCAGTACCCAGGGTCTAACGGAAATTGGTGAATATTTGTTTACTGAATGAGTGAAAATGTCAGGCAGGATGTAAGACAATTTACCTTCACAATCGCTTCCCCCATTCTGCACACGAGAATAAGCCACCTGTTTGAAGTTACACAGGAAATGGCAGAGCCAGGATTTGAGCCAAGGTGACCTGACTTCATATACACTCAACCCCTACACTTGGCCTATGCCAAGTTTCAGTACAGCCAAGTCTCAGGCAGAATTAAAGGTCCACGTGGGTAGGAAAGAAACATTTCCAAGCCTGACCCCCAGCATAAAAGTCTCTCAGGAGGCTCCTTCCAGATCCTGTCTTTCCCTGGAAAACCCCAATGCCCATTAGCCTACTGAAGGTTTCAAAAGCATGAAGTCAAGTAACTGGTTTTAACTTTAACTCAGTGTTTCCCAAATTTATTTGACACATAACCCTTTTTGCCCATAATTTTGTATTTTATGGAATATACTTTAGGGAATGTTGAAGTGGAGGCTTTCCCAGTAAATACAGGAAAGGGGATAATAGAAACTAGTTCAGCTGCACGTCAAGGCCATGTGTAAAGGAATGATGAAAGCTATGTAGGTTGAGTCAGCTTATGGAAAGACTTGAAAGCCAGGATAAACATGAACTTAATCCAGTGAGCAGTGGGAAGCCACATGAACTCTGCAGCAGGAACTCACCAGCCCATGTCTTGACAGTGGCTTTTCTTCACTTTTCCTGATCCACTTAAGGAAGCAGCTAAGAATTTCAAAGCCAGGAAGGGATCTCGGAAGCAATCTGACAGCTGAGATATGCTAAATGACCAAACAGGGGCTGAACTGACTCTACGGGTGCCATTTATATAGGATACGAATAGTGCCCCTGGAATTGTACCGGCGGTGGCCTTCCTCATCCATGTCTGGCTTCTAATCACGAGTAATCAGTTAATGGAAACTACAAGATCAA